AAAATAAACACTTATAGACCATTGAAATGTATAACACAGGAGGACAACACGGTAGATGGTGGAGGGGGAGGGATGGTGGGTGGGTGTGGGGGGAGTGGGGGCGGGGGGCAGAACCTTTTAGGACAAGAGGAATAAGAATGGGGAGAAAACTGGGAAGAGAAACAATTGGTGGAAAACGTACGTTAAAAAGTATATTTCCTTGCGATTGGCCCCACTCTCTTGTAATAGAAAGACGTTTCTACGCCAGAAACTTAGGGCTAAAAGTTGTGGGATTCCTTGACTAACTCGAAGCGCTCGTTCGAAGTTCACTTACGAAATAAGAAGTCAAGAAATTTAGAAATGCGCTTTCAGTCACTACGCCCCAAAACTCTGGAACGCTCTTCCTCTCTCCCTCCGCCTCAGCCCCATTCCTTCCCCGTCTTCAAGACCTTCCTCTTCGACCTACGGTCACCTCCCCTATCCCACTGTCTCGGTGTCGTGCTCTGTCACTGTCAGGCGCTCTGCCTGAGGGGCCTTATATAAATGCAAGTCGCTGTTGTTTAGAAGTATCACAGATATCCCTGTGGATGCACAGAATATGTTTGCCATTTAGCCTGACCGGCCCGGCCCCTGTGCCACTTTCATTACTCTTAACCTTCCTCTCTCAAGAACGAGAGAATTTATATATATATATATATATCCGTCTTTATACTGTATATCTATAATCTGTGTAAAAAAAAATTGCTGCGGAAAATTCACCTGACTTTTAAGTAATCAGTCATCGTCCTGGGGTTCAGATAAGATCTGAATCAGTTGCACATCAGCATCCGTAAGGGCTGTGTTATCTGAAAGCATCTATCAGATTACTGTCTCCAATTACATAGAAGCAATGTATTTGGACTTTTTATTTTAAGATTTTGTTGGGCTGAGGGTAGAGGGGGGGGGCGGGTGGGGGGACTTTTTTATGTCTTAGTCTGCAAAGCCATTTTTGTCTCACGAATAATAATAGCAACAATAATCGTAATTATAGTCCTCTCATTTGATGTTGCTTCCCGGCTCTTAGCAAATCGGCTGCCGCGTTTCGCCCAGAAACGTATACAGTCAGTGAACTTTACGGTATATCTTGTGAGAGCGCTTTTGAGACATCTGTCCTCCCAGCGTGAGAGGCGTCACATCAAACGTAAGGATTATTATTTATTACAGCGTCTATAACAAGTTCAGTGGGGTCTAGTGACTGTGCGTTCCAATTGCCAATACACGCCCAGCAAAAGTCCGTACAGGGTCAGATGACTTTGGTGACCCCCAAAACACTGCGGATTATGGCTGGATCCATCCACATTTTCAAGACTCAGGTGGACAGACATTTGTTAGGTCAGGGTATTAAGGGGGTATGGGACAAGGGTCTGTAATTGGACTTGAGGTACAGATCAGCCATGGTCTTATAAAACAGGCTCGAGGGGCTGAATGGCCTACTCCTGTTTCTACGTTTCTGACAAAAGGCTTCACAGGCTAAGGCTAGGTGGAATTTCGGACCTCAGATCCGTACGGATCCGTAATCCGTAATCCCTAACCCAAAAATGACTTGATTCCCTCGCTCTTCTCCCTCAAACTCCCATCAAAGGTCGCCGTACACACCAGAACAAAGACAGATCGGCAGCTTCCTCATATAATCTGTATTAAAAAAACAGTCCACTCACTCAGTATGTCAGAACCATCTTTAGGTGATCCGTGGTAGAACTCTACCCGCACAGCTTACCCCGGATAAAATAGCTCTCTAAACACCGCTGAGCCATTCGATTGGTCTGGCTAGTCACTTCTTTCTCAGTTTGGACCTGGGCAAGCAATTTGCCGCCAGATTAGACAACCATCTACCAGCACCCACATACAAATGGCTATTCCCACTCCACCAATTTTTGGCTCAGCGTTCATGCTGTCTATCTGGCAAGCCGTTTCTTTCCCATTTTGTGTTTTTTACCCAGCCAGGCAAAAAGGTTTTTATGCCGTTCGGGCTATTTCGCTTCACCTTTCACTCTGCCAATCTGACAAGATATTCGGTTCAAGCGCTCTGGGACGCTACCCTGCATGAGTGGCGTTGTATGAACGCTATGTAAGTTGTTGTTGTTTTACGGTTTTGACTGGGTAAAGACTTTTGCCAATTTGGCCGGCGGTAGAGTGTATCAATTTGACCGGACATAAATGGATTAGATGGTTTCAAGCTGTTCATTTTTGAAGGGCGAATCGTGTTTTTTTTTAATGCTAACAAAGAAGTTATTAAAACCAGCCAATAGGTTAAATACAAATTGCTTCAACCTTCTGATCTCCTAAGTCTCTCTCTCGCTCTTTGCTACTAAAGTTTCCCTATTGGTTGCACAGATGGGCCGAGATTTTAGTTCCTGACTTAATTCAAACCGCGCCCTTACTGTATGTATCTCTTTGCAGCTTTCCCTTCAATAAAGCTGGCAGTGCCCAGAGCAAAGGCCATAATTGCCAAAGCAAACAGCAGATTACATAGCCCAGAAAACTGCTCAAAAACTCATCGGCCCATCACTGAATACCCGGGACCTAACTGGACTCAAGTCCTTCCGCTCCGCTCAGACCCGAAAGAGAGAGGCTTTCCACCATCTCCGGGAGGTGTTCAGAATCCATGTCGTCTTTCCCATTGTCCGAGTTTTCCGAGGTTATGTAACAACCGGAATCTCTGGGGCATTCCGTCAAGTGGGGCTGGTCTAACTTGAGGTCGGAGGGTTGGCTTTCGGACGTCTCGTGGCTCTTCTCTTCCTCCCCGTCTTCAGCTGTAAAACAGGACAGGTCATATGTTATAATCATAAAACCCTTGCATTCGGTGTAGCGCCTTATGCCACGTCTTTGAGACGTCTCAAAGCGCTTCACAGCATATACTGTAAAGTGAATTGACTGTGTATTTTGTGGGCGAAACGCAGCAGCCAATTGCGCACAGCAGCGTCCCCACAAACAGTCGTGGATTGAGTGACCAAATTATTGTTTAAGAAAAAAGTTTTATTCATTTTATAGCAAGGGATTATTACCCCTGGAAAAGTGATCCGCCAATCGACATCCGGGTTCCTACTTACAGCTAGGCGTGTGGAGTAAGGAACATTGCCTAATGTTGCGTCCTGTCCGAGAATCGAAACCCAGGTCTCTCGCTTGCAAGGCGAGAGCGCTAACCACTAAGTTGCAGGACTGAAAGATGGCACCTCAGATTATACAGTGTTGGAGCACTTGACAGTACTGTGAGCTCAACGACCCAACACCCAGGTTTGAAACTTGCAACCTTCTTGAAACCATTTTCAGTCTCACTTCTAGCTTGAGACGAGTTGACAACAACTTGTATTTATATATATATATATATATATTTTGCTGCTGTTGTTGTTATATAACACCCTGCACATGGGGTCGCCTCCCAGAGTTACTGGCCATTGAGATTTTGGGTTTTTCATTTCTGTTTGGAGGGTTTATCTAAGGCTACAACGCATCGTACGACAAATTATAGTTTTCTGTGATAAGCACAGGATGTTGATCGAGGTGCTCAAACAGCAGCAACAGGAACTGATATCTCTTATCTCACTAACCTTTTACCAAGCCAGCACCCTTTTAGAACTGCCATATGAATAACTCTGTCCAACTGTTGAAAGGTAGACCGTATCTGTTGCTCATTGGTAATTGAACCCACACACCACCATTTACTTGGGAATCTCAGTTAGTCATATTTAGGGGGTCAGCCCGAATCGGTGGGTAGGAATCTCGCCTCTGAGTTCCAGTAACTGAAATCCTTCCTGAAATTGAGGGTCTGTCTGTGTACAAGTAAATGTTAAAGATCGAGTGACCACCGCTTGGAAAAGATGTCAGATTTATAATAATATAATAATTATGCTTGCAACTGATACAGTGCCTTGTCATGACATTGAATATAATGCAAAGTGAACTGACTGTGAATTTTATGGTAAAAACGGGGCAGCCAATTGCTCCCTGCGCTGTCCTACAAACATTCGTAGATTGAGTGACCAATTTTATCTTTTTAGAGGGTTTATTACCCCCGGAAAGCCATCCGCCAATCGACTAACAACCGGGTTCCTATTTACCTGGGTAAACAAAGCCGGATAGAGTAAGGAAACTTGCCGAAGGTTTCGCCCTGCCGGGAGTCGAACCCGGGTCCTCTCGTTTGCGAGGCGAGCGCTCTAACCAACACGCTACGCGTATTTACGGACAGCTGACTTCATAGCTGCTTGTGGGACATTGGTGGGTGTAAGTTGGCTGCTGTGTTTGCCTACAAACTTGGGGTAGAAATTCCAGCCAGGTCTAGATTTACTCTATTAACATATCATTTGAGGGTTCAGAATTTGACAAGTTCTCAAATACAGCCTTAACATTTGAAGCCAGGCTTTGTCAAGTTCTGTTAAGAACTACAGGAAACCCACTTGAAAGCTAAGACGGAACTCAACAATTTCCCAAGCTATTGATATTTTAAAAGGCAATGTTAAATCTGGACCAGTTGGAACTGTAACCACAGAATCACTGCATTTACAATAATGATAATAATCCTTGCATTTGAGATAGAGCCTTATCATGTCTCAAAGCGCTCCACAGAATATTCTTTAAGTGAATTGACTGTATATTTTTTCTCTCACACTCACTCTCTCTCTGTCTCTCACACTCACTCTCTCTCTCACACTCACTCTCTCTGTCTGTCTCACTCTCGCTCTCACACTCACTCTCTCACTCTCTGTCTGTCTCTCACACTCACTCTCTCACACTCACTCACTCTCTCACTCTGTCTGTCTCTCGCACTCACTCTCACACTCACTCACTCTCTCTCTGTCTCTCTCACACTCTCTCTCACACTCACTCTCTCACTCTGTCACTCACACTCACTCTCTCACTCTGTCTGTCTCTCACACTCACTCTCTCACACTCACTCTCTCTCACTCTCTCTCACACACTCTCTCTCACACTCTCTCACTCTCTCTCTCACACTCACTGTCTCTCACACTCACTCTCTCTCTGTCTGTCTCTCACACTCTCTCACACTCACTGTCTCTCTCACACTCACTCACACTCACTCTTACTCATTCACTCACTCTCTCAGACTCTCTCTCACACTCATTCACACTTACTCTCACGATCACTCTCACACTCACTCGCTCACTCATACTCACTCTCACGCTCGCTCGCTCATAGTTAGTCTCACACTCGCTCGCTCATAGTTAGTCTCACACTCGCTCGCTCATACTCACTCTTACACTCACTCGCTCATACTCACTCTGCATTCACTCGCTCGCTCATACTCACTCTCACACTCACTCACTCGCTCGCTCATACTCACTCTCACACTCACTCGCTCGCTCAAGCTCACTCACACTCACTCGCTCACTCACTCATACTCACTCTCACACTCACTTGCTCATACTCGCTCGCTCAAGCTGACTCTCACACTCATTCGCTTGTTCATACTCACTCTCCCGCTGAAACTCGCTCATGTTCAATCTCACACTTACTCACTCGCTCATACTCACTCTCCCGCTCGCTTACACTCACTCTCACACTCTCGCTCACTCACACTCACTCGCTCGTGCATACTCACTCTCACACTCTCACTCGCTCACGTTCGCTCATGCTCACTCTCACACTCACTCACTCTCAAACTCTCTTGCTCGCTTGTACTCTCACTCAGTCTCTCGCTCGCTCTCACTGCAGTTGAGAGAGTTGTCTGTCTTATGCAGCAAAAATCCATTTGATACGGCGCCTTATTGCGTCTTCGAGACGCCTCAAAGCGCTTCACAGGATACACTGTAAAAACAGAAGTGGCTGGGAACACTCAGCAGGTCAGGCAGCATCTATGGAGAAAGGAAAGTGCGTCAACTTATCGGGTCCACGAAATACTGCAAAGTGAATTGACTTATCTGTTTTGTGGGCGAAATGCAGCCGCTTATTGCGCACAGCAGCGTCCCACAGACAGGCAAAGTTACATCCTCTCACCGCTACCATCCTCTTGATTACCTTTGACACAATGCCACTGACAATGCCACTACCCTCACACTCGTCTTCGAGCCCCTTCATGCCCTGGCACCACCCTACCTCTCCGACCCGCTAACCACTCCAACCCACAACCCGCTGCCTCCGCTCAACTGGCTCCCGCCTCCTGCATGACCCTCGTGCCCTCCGTTCCACCATTGGCATCCTCACAAACCACCAGCAGTACATCTACACAAACGGCTTCTCCTCCCGCTCTCACCCAGTCACCTGCGGATACCCCAAGGATCCATCCTTGGCCCCCTCCTCTTTCTGATCTGTATGCTCCCTCTTGGGGATGTCATCCGCAGACATGGAGTGCCACACGTATGCAGACGACACCCAACTCTATTTTCCCACCTCTCTTTGCGACCCCCAGTCCCCTGATGTTCTGTCAGTCTGCCTGTCAGATCTCAGGGGCTGGAGGAGCGCAAACTTCCTTCAGCTGAATGCTGACAAGCCGGAAGGCATACTCTTTGCCAAATCTCACGACTCTCACCTCCTCCACCCTCCCTCTAAAGTTCTCCGAACCCGTACGCAACCTCTGCGTCAGGTTCAACCCCCAATTATCCTTCCTCCCCCACATCCGGTCCCTCACCAGCACCGCTTTCTTCCACCTCCAACGCATAGCCCGTCTCTGTCAATACCTCTCCCCAAAAGCCGCTGAAACCCTGGTCCATGCCTTTGTCACCTCTCGGCTGGACTACTCTAACGCCCTCCTCGCCGGTCTCCCATCCATAAAATTCAGATCATTCAAAACTCTGGCGCCCGCATTCTCACCCGCACCAAACTCCGCTCCCTATCACCTCAGTCCTCGCCAGACTGCACTGACTGCCTATCCCAGAGAGATAGGCTATTACTGTGAAGCGCTCTGAGACGCCGTCCAGCGTGGAGGGCGCTATATAAATCAAAGTTGTTGTTGTTGGTGGCTGCGCTTTCAGCCACTATTCCCCGAAACTCTGTAACACGCTCCCTCTATCTCTCCGCCTCACTCCTTTCTTCCCCATCTTTAGGTCGCACCTGAAGACCTTCCTATTCGACAGTGCCTACGGTCACCTCCCTCTTCCTTTCCCTCCCCCCCCCCCCCCCCCCCCCACCTGGCTCGGATCATTCACCGCAGGCTGCCAAGACACTGATCCACGCTTTCATTACGTCCCGGCTTGACTCCACCAACTGCTTGCCCGCTGGCCTTCCCAACTCTTCCCTCCACAAACTGCAGGTTGTTCAGAGCTCTGCAGCGCTCGTGTCCTCTCCTGCACCAGCGCTCTGTGAACCTATCACTCCCGTTCTTGCCCGGCTTCACTGGCTCCCCATTCCTCAGAGAGTCGAGTACAAAACCCTAATTCTTACCCTCAAAGCCCTCTCACCCTTTTGCTCCCCCACCACCTCTCTGACCTCATAGCCCCAAATCAGCCCGTCCACTCCCTACGCTCGGCTGACACCGGCCTGTTTCAGCTCCCCCGCACTTCCCGCCCCACCATTGGTGGTTGGGCATTCAGCCGTCTGCCCCCACGCTCTGGAACTCTATCCCTCAATCCCTTCTCACCACCCCCTCTCTCGCCTCCTTCAAGTCCCGTCTAAAGACCTTCCTCTTCGACCGTGCCTTCAGCTACCCTCCCACCTCCCCACTGTCCTCCACCCCTCTGATCCCAACTCCCAGCTCGGGTACAAAACCAGTGACTGTCCAGCGCCCTGGGACATCTATTTCGTCGTGAAGGGCGCTCTACAAGTGTAATTTGTTGTTGTTGTGCTTGGACAGCGGGAAAGCTTGGCCAGTCAGCGATATCAACGGCAAGCCGTGTGGTTTTAGCTGGTTAGACTCCAGCAGTTACCTCCAACGCGCACTCTGGGCTCTACCCAGTCCTTGGCTCTTGCCAAACTGCGCCTAATACTTTCCGGAATTAGGTAAGCGGGATGTGACCCTCCTGAAAGAGAGAGAGAGAGAGAGCGCCTTCATTCCAACAACCTATCTCTGGGATTGCCGTGTGTAGGTCGGGTGCGTGGAATTCTCAGGTTGGTTTGGAGACTCTTAAGCAACGGCGATGGGTTTCCGCACGTGTCAGACACCCGGCTGAGCGGTCCCTTGTATTTCAGGCTCCTCTGTATTGGCGCTGCTCCTCGCTGGCTACCTGGCACAGCAGTACCTACCGCCACCCAAACCCAAAGTGATCGGCGTGGACCTGGGCACCACCTACTGCTCGGTCGGTGTGTTCCTGCCGGGATCCGGGAGAGTGCTGGTCATCGCCGACAAGGCCGGGCGCAAGAGCTTACCGAGCGTGGTGTCGTTCACCGGGCGGGAGGTGCTGGCCGGATACGCGGCACAGGAGCTGGCAGACGTCAACCCGCTCAACACCATCTATGACGCCAAGAGGTTTATCGGGAAACTTTACACACCCGAGGAGCTGAGAAATGAGAGCAGCCGATACCAGTTTAAGGTACGAGTTCTCTGTCTCCAGGATTCCTGGCTCCGTGGTTAGAGAGCTCTCGCCTCGCAAAGCGAGAGGACCCCGGGTTCGATTCCCGGGCAGGGAGCGAAACGTTGGGCAAGTTTCCTTACTCCCCACTCACACACACACACGCTCACACACGCACACTCACACACACACACTCACACACAGACACACACTCACACACTCTCACACACACACACTCTCACACGCACACTCACACACACACTCACACACAGACACACACTCACACACAGACACACACTCTCACACACACACTCACACATACATACACCCACACTCACACGCACGCCTCTGGTTACACAGCAGTCAGTAGGAACCCGGTTGTTAGTCGATTGGTGGATCACTCTTCCTCGGGTAATAATCACTTCAAAAAAATTTTTTTACAAAAATAATAAATTGGTCACTTCAATCCACGGCTGTTTGCGGAGACGCTGCTGTGCGCAATCGGCTGCCGCCTTTCGCCCATAAGAACCCCCAGTCAATTCGCTTTACGGTATGTTCTATGAAGCGCTTTGAGACATCACAAAGACGTGATCAGGCGCTGTATCCAATGAAAGGATTATTATTATCATATATTATATCGTGGTGCTCCGCCACGGTCAGGCGCTTTATATAAACACAAGTTGTTGTTGTTGTAGGTGTTGTATAACGAGGGACGTGCAGAGTTCTCGGTCCCCGCAAACGAGACTTGGCGGATCACGCCGGAGTTTGTGGGCTCCCGACTGTTGCTGGAGCTGAAGAGGATGGCGGAGGAGCAGCTGGGGATCCCGGTCAGCAAAGCGGTCATCTCGGTTCCCGCGGATTTCGACGAGCGGCAGAGGAACTACACCGTCAGGGCGGCGAAGATGGCAGGTACCTGCCTCTCCGTGCCAGCACAGTAGCGGTCACGCACACAGCCCGTAGCGCGGTGGTTAGAGTGTTAGAGTGCGCTCGCCTTGCGAGGGAGCGGACCCGGGTTCGATTCCAAGCTCGGGGCCGAAACCTTAGGCAAGTTTCCTTACTCGACCCACACACACGCCTCTGATTATCCCCAGTGGTAATATAGTAATAATCCTTGTGTTTGACATGGCGCCTGATCATGTCTTCTCGACGTCTCAAAGCGCTTCACAGAATAGACTGTAAAGTGAATTGACCGTATATTTTGTGGGCGAAACGCGGCAGCCAATTGCCCACAGCGGCGTCCCACAAACAGCCGTGGTGACAATGACAATTTATTATTGTTGTTTTGGTTTTGGAGGATTTATTATCAGGCGTGTGTGTGGAGTAAGGAAACTTGCCCAAGGTTTCGCCTGCCTGGAATTGAACCCAGGTCCTCTCGCCTGCGAGGCGAGCGCTCTAACCACGGACCTACAGGGCTCCAGTAGGAACCCGGCAGATATACATTCTCGTTAAACAAGTTTGATATCAAGCCTTTGATGTCTCAAAACGCTTCACAGAATAGATTACAATGTGACCGCTCTATTCTCATCCACCGCCTCTCCTCTCACCTCAACCTTCACGGTGCTGTCTTTGACTGGTTTAGATCGTACTTCTCACACCGCCTCCACTTCATCTCCACAAACGGCTTCTCCTCCAACCCCTGCACCGTCTGTGCGGCGTTCCTCAGGACTCTGTCCTTGGTTCCCTCCTCTTCAATATCTCTATGCTCCCTCTTGGTGGCATCATCTCCAGAATTAGGGTCAACCTCCACATTTATGCAGATGACACCCAACTCTACCTCTCTGCCTCCACCCTCGACTCCAGGACCCACTGCTGTCCTGACAGAATGTCTGTCAGACATCAAGTCCTGGATGAGAGTTAACTTTCTACAGTTGAACGTCAACAAGACCGAGACCCTCCTGATTGGCTTCCGTCAGCGCCTCCTCACCTCAGACGCTGACAGCGTCACCATCCATGGTTGCTCACTCCTCGTCACTGAGCCAGTCCGGAACCTTGGGGTCTTGTTTGACCCTCAACTCTCCTTTCTACCCCACATTCGCGCCATGACCCGCTCTGCCTTCCCCCACCCTCGGCCTCACTCGCCCCATTATTGGCAGGCGGACCTTCCGCGACTCTGCCACCACCCTCTGGAACTCCATCCCGCAGTCCCTCCGCCTCGCCCCCTCTCTTGCCTCCTTCAAGACCCATCTCAAGACCCTCCTCTTCGACCGTGCTTTCGAGTGATCAAATTATTATTATTATTATTTTGAGGGGACTATTACTCCCGGAAAAGCGATTTCTCCCGATCGACTAACAATGGGGTTCCCACTCACTGCTGTAAACAGAGGCGTGTGTGTGGAGTCAGGAAAGTTGCCCACCGTGTCGCCCTCCCCGGGCATCGAACCCGGGGCCTCTCACTCGCGAGGCGAGCGCTCTAACCGCTGAGCTACAGGACACCCCCGCTAGCAAGCGCTATCGGAAACTCTCTGCCGCGGCACCGCCTGGGGACGTCCTCCTGACGTGAAAAGGCGCCGTCCAAATGTCATTTGTCTTGGTCGTGGTCTCGAGCGCTCCCGCAGGAAGCTTGACGGCCGCCCGTGCTCTCGCCTGTGTTTCAGGGCTGGATGTGCTGAGGGTGATCAATGAGCCCACCGCGGCAGCGATGGCTTACGGGCTGCACAAGGCGGAGGTTTTCAATGTGCTGGTGGTGGACCTGGGCGGAGGGACTCTCGACGTGTCGCTGCTGATCAAGCAGGGAGGCATGTTCCTCACCAGAGCCATGGCAGGTCAGAAACGTGGCTGCAGCAATAACAGTAATAATAATAATAATAACAATAGTAATTATTTCGCCCACAAATATACGGTCAATTCACTGTACAATCTATTCTGTGAAGTGCTTTGAGATGTCGAGAAGACGTGAAAAGCGCTGTATCAAAGGCACGGATTATTATTATTATATTAATACTTATACTACTACGACTAATAATACTTGCATTTGCTATAGCACCTTATCACATCTTTGAGACGTTTCGAAGCGCTTCACAGAGTATACTGCCAAGTGAATTGACTGTGTATTTTGTCTATGTTTGTGTGTTTGTGGTTATTGTGTGTGTTTATCTGTGTGTTTGTTTGTCTGCATGTGTTTGTGTTTTTGTTTGTGTGTCTGTGTTTGTGTGTGTCTGTGTGTGTGTTTATGTGTGTTTGTGGGTCTGTGTGCGTGTCTGTGTGTGTGTCTGTGTTTGTCTGTGTTTGTGTGTGTGTGTGTTTGTGTGTGTGTGCGCGTGTCTGTGTGTTTGTTTGTCTGTGTGTGCGTGTGTGTCTGTGTGTGTGTGTGTGTGTGTCTGTGTGTGTGTCTGTGTTTGGCTGCAGGTAATAACCAGTTGGGAGGCCAGGACTTCAACCAGCGTTTGCTGCAGTTCCTGTTTGAGCGCGTACACGAGCGACACGGAGTTCTGCCGTCCCACCAGCAGGACATCCACCGCCTGCGTCAGGCTGTGGAGGAGGCCAAGCTGAACCTGACCGTGGCCAGCTCTGTGTCTCTCCGTGTCCCCCTCTCCCTGTCGCGCCCTGGCGGGGACAGGGTTGGGGAAGAGGAGGAGGGCGGAAGGGCCGACGAGGGGGAGGAGAAGGAGGAAGGGACTCGCGTTTGGTTCCGAGAAACGGTGACCAGGGAGCGCTTCGAGGAGCTGAACCAGGACCTGTTCCAGAAGATCCTGCTCCCCATCGAGGAGGTGCTGCGGGCAGGACGGCTGGACAGGCACCGGGTGGACGAGATCGTGCTGGTGGGCGGCTCGACCCGCATCCCCCGCATCCGGCAGGTCATCAGGGAATTTTTCGGCAAAGAGCCTAACACGGCGGTGGACCCGGACCTGGCTGTGGTGATCGGCACCGCCATTCAAGCCGGCATCATGGGCGGTTCCTGGCCACTGCAGGTCAGCGCCTTGGAGATCCCTAACCGCCACCTCCGCAAGACGAACTTCAGCTAGTGACGCGCACGAGGGACCTGGAAGGACACGGCACCTTTGTCCCGTTCCCAACCACAACATTTCCCAACCCCCCTTCACTCTGTGGTTACTTTGGTTAATTTGATCACTTCAGGCCAGTGGTCAGTGTTCAGTGGCCGCCTTCTGCCCGCAAAGAAAAAAAAACAATTCACTGTACGGTGTATTTGTGCGATGCGCTTTCAGACGTCTCGAAGACGCCATGAAAGCGCAGTGTCAAATGCGAGGATTATTATTATTGTTGTTACCCATCGGGAGTTAATGACACGAGATGTTAATATTAATAATATTAATATTTCTCCCTTAAGATCTCTCAATCTCCCTTAAGGTAATAATAATAATAATCATAATACTTGCATTTGATTCAGTGCCTTCGAGACGTCTCAAAGCGCTTCGCAGGATACACTGTAAATCGGTTAACTGCGTACTTTTTTGTGGGCGAAACGCGGCAGCCATTTATCCCACAAACATTGAATTGACCAAATTATCATTGTTTCATTTATTTATTTGTTTTGGAGGGGTAAAAATCTTCTCTCCGCCTGACTTGAGACCATCTCCCTGAAGATCCTCTCTCTGTCTTCCTTGAGATCATTCCCTCAGACCCACGAGGGATTTTATTTCAGGGGATCCTTTTGCCTCAACGCTGGAGTTGAAGGTTCCATTTTAAAAGGTTAAGGTGACCAGTCGGAGATGTTTTATTGGAAATATTGGGGATACTCTTTGTCTGGGCTGTTCATCATACATTATCACTCTTTTCCCCCACAACCTGCCCTCCCCCCCCCCTCCCGCCTCCTCCCTCCCTTCTATCTTAATTAGTTTCAAAACAGTTGAGTGAAAAATATAGTAAGGGTTAATTATCGCTATTTTCACCCACACCAACACAAGAGCTGACAAACCCTATTCCTCTCCCGCAAGTTACCGAACTTAGTTGGAAGAACTTGTTGGGAAGAGCAAACCTTTGACCCCTATTGACATTCCCTCGTCAGCACTGCATCCCCTTCTGTCCAGTTCTCTCTGTTCCTCCTGACCCCAAGTGGCTGTGCTCTACAAGTGTAATTTGTTGCTGTCGATGCCTTTGCTCACACTTCAGCTGCTCGGATTATGATGGGGATGACAGTAATCACAATAATCCAAAAGCATTTCTTGAAACGCCAGTGACATTCCAAACACCTCAGACTGTTCGGCACATCATTGCGGTCCCAGTTGTACTGACTGTGCGTTGTAGACAAAGACAAACAGCCGATTTGCACACCGCAAGGTCCCACCCACAGCCACGAGGGAGGTTTTTGTTCTCCAGCTCAGTGGTTAGAGCGCTCGCCGCGCAAGCGAGAGGACCCAGGTTCGATTCCCGGGCAGTGCGGAACATCAGGCAAGTTTCCTAACTCCACACACACACACATATGCCTCTGTTTACCGCAGTAAGTAGGAACCCGGTTGTAAGTCGATTGGTGCATCGCTTTTCCAGGGGTAACAATTCCTTCAAAGAAAGTAATGCTAATAAATGGGTCACTTCAATCCACGACTGTCTGTGGGGACGCTGTTGTGCGCAATTGGCTGCCGCGTTTCACCCACAAAATATACAGTCAATTCGCTTTACCGTATATACTGTGAAGTGCTTTGAGACGTCTTGAATATAGAGTGCTATATCAGATGCAAAGATTACTAGAATTGCTGATCAAGAGGGCCACAGGATCTTTAACTTCCACCTGACCAGCCCGACAGGACCTCGGTTTAACTCCTCGTCTATAAAATGGCACCTGAGATGGGCAGATAACTGTCCACTAAATAGAAATGGTTACATCTGGATGGGTGGCAATGAATGACGGACGTAAAACAGAAGTCGCTGGGAACAGTCAGCAGGTCAGGCAGCGTCCGTGGAGGTGGGGAGAGAGAGGAAAGCGAGTTAACGTTTCAGGTCGATGACTTTCATCCGACCGTTTGTCAGATTAATGATGGATGGTCTGACACCCGAGAGAGGTGAGATCAAAACCCTGTTGGACGGTGACCCAACAGAGGGGGAGGGAGGGGGGGAATCACTTATTAGGTGATTTTAGGGCTCAACTTTGTGATTCTATTTAATTTTACTTGTGATAATGCAATGGGTAACTGCCGCTAGATGGCGGCACAACTCCATCAGGTCTCACTCCCGCTTCTAACGATGTGTAGCTCAGAGGTTAGAGCACTCGCCTCGCAAGCGATTGGACCCGGGTTCGATTCCCGGGCAGTGCGGAACATCAGGCAAGTTTCCTTACTCCCCACACACACACACCCACACGCCTCTGTTTACCTCGCAGTCAGGAGGAACCCGGTTGTTAGTCGATTCGTGGAACGCTTTTCTGGGGTTAAGATTTCCTTCCAAAAAAAATTGGTCACTCAATCAACGACTGTTTGAGGGACGCTGCTGTGTGCAATTTGCTGCTGCGTTTCGCCCACAAAATATACCGTCACTTGACAATACAACCTGTGAAGCACTTTGAGACCTCTCGAAGACATGAGAAGGCGCTATTTCAAATGCAAGGATTATTTAACCTCGGTGACCTCCGCTTTGTTTCCAGACATCATATTTTGAAATGCACAATCTTCCCCGGTTCAGAATTAATATTTAATAATAATAATAACAATATTCCTTGCAGTTGACATAGCGCCTTATCAAATCTTCGAGACGTCTCAAAGCGCTTCACAGAATATTCTGTAAAGTGACTCGACTGTATATTTTGTGGGCGAAACCCGGCAGCCAATTGCGCACAGCAGAATATCACAAACACCGTGGGTTGAAGTGACCAATTTATTATTATTTTCCAATTTGTTTTTGCTGTGAAGAGATTATTACTGCCGAAAAAGGCAATGTGCCAATCGACCGCCAACCAGGTTTCTACTGACTGCTCGGTAAGCAGAGGCGTGTGTGTGTAGTAAGGAAACTTACCCAACATTTCGGCCTGCCTGGGAATCATAGAATTATACAGCACAGAAGGAGGCCATTCGGCCCATCGTGTCTGTGCTGCTCTTTGAAAGGAGCTATCCAATTCAATCCCACTCCCCCGCGCTCTCCCCATTGCCCTACAAACTTGTCCTCCCCAATTATCTACGCCCTTAAAAGCTGCTATCGAATCGGCCCGGGAATCGAACCGAGGTCCTCTCGAGGGCTCTAACCACTGAGCTACACTACTCCACTGTGCCTGTAGTCCTAGCAATTGCCACTGTTAAGTATCACAAGTAATGTTAACGGCACAAACTCCAAACCTTATTCTTTCTAAAAACTTCTTTGGGTGAATGTGTTGATTTAAACGGTACTGTAGATCACTTTCCAAAAAGAAAGCACATCTTTAATATATATATTTAAATGTAATGCATTTTAAAGTAATGTTTGCAGTATTCCTTGCCGCAATCCTTGACTTACTGAAGGAATGCGGCAAACCCTCCAGCAGATTCCATAAGGGTCCTTTATGCCTCTATGTTCTTGGACCCTAAACCCAGACCAATTTGATGTTGTAAATCTTAGACTTTATTTGGAGATTTAGGTTCTGGATTCGCTCTCGAGAGATCGAAATCTTTCCAGAGCCAAAGAAGGAACTTTTAAGGAACCGATTTTGTTTTGTTTTTTAACCCTCTTTGTCCTTTACAGACCTGGCTGGTCTCAAACGCCATTTTGTTTGTCAAATTGGTGGGGGTGTTTTGTGGAAAAANCGAATATTAAATAAAGATGGGTCCACCTCCCTCCCTCTCCCTTCCCTTCCGCACTGTGCACTCAGAGGATACAGTTCAAGATCCTGGTCCTCATCTTCAAAGCCCTACACAGCCTCACTCACCCCACCTCCGTTACCTCCTCACCACCCTCTCCCCGCCCCCCCCCCCCCCCCCCCGCCCACCCACTCCCTCCGCTCTGCGGGCTCCGGTCTGCTTCACCTCCCCCGCCTTGCTCACCCCACCATTGGCGGGCGAGCCTTCAGCATCTCTACCCCCACCCCTCTGGAACTCCATCCCACAGTCCCTCCGAATCGCCCCCCCCTCCCTCGCCTCCTTTAAAACCCATCTCAAGACCCTTCTCTTCGACTGGGCTTTCGGTCACCCTCCTCCCCCTAACCCTCCCCACCCTCCACCTTCTCCTGATCCCAACCACCAGCTCGGATGTGGATCTCAGACTGTCCAGCGCCTTGGGACGTCCTCCGGACGTGAAAAGCGCTGTGCCATTTGTCGTTATTCCTGCACTATTGCAACAGAGTTTGGTGTGAGCATAAGGAAGTAGAACAATGCTTGAATCTCGCTCCTTAAAATGATGATTAATTATTCAAATATTTACATATCTCTTCCTCCCACCACCGCCCATGTTTCCTCTTCCCGCACTGTCCAGCCAGCACAGCAGGTATATTCATTCCTCCTCTTTTCCTATCTTTTCTAGTCTGTAAACCTTTCCCCCCCTACTCTCTTCCCCCCACTCCACCCATTACTCCACTCACCCCGCATGCAGGCCAGCCATCTCTGGGGTTTGGCTTGTGGGGATTATATAATAATAATAATCCTTGCATTTGATGTAGCGCCTTACCAGGTCTTCGAGACGTCTCAAAGCGCTTCACGGGATACACTGTAAAGTCAATTCATAGAATCATAGAATTGTACAGCACAAAAAGAGGCCATTCGGCCCATCGAGTCTGTGCGGCTCTTTGAAAAGAGCAATGTAATGTCAATCCCACTCCCAAACCCTTTCCCATAACGTGCAACCCCGTCCTCCTCAAATACCCGTTCACCGCGTTTTTAAAAGCAGTTATCGAATCGGCCTCGACCGCCCTTTCAGGCGATGCGTTCCAGATTCGAACAACTCGCTGCCGAAAACATTTCTTCTCACCTCCCCGCGGCTTGTTTTGGATGCTATTTTAAATCTGTGACCTCAAGTCACCGACACACCAAATTGACTGTATTTTGTGGGATTCAATCCAGGACTTCAGTCCATCGCCCAGAAGTGTTGTGATAGCTGAAAGAGGGGTACTTTTCACAGCATGACTTTCGCCCACTGATAACATCTCAGTGTAATTCTTCATGTGGTTTGGTTCCAGTTCATCCGAAACCCGTCTCGTTTGCCCCCTTCCCCCCCACACCCTCCACCCCGGTCTTAGTCTTAAGATCATCTTAAGATGCCACAGAACATTCGGCCTTAATTTGGAAGCGAGTGGACCATCTGTGCCACCTTAAATGCACTGAGATGGCATCGAGGTGATGTGCTTGGCAATGGATTGAAGAAATCGAGTCAACCCTCAGCGACGGTCTCTCTCATCAGTCTGGTTCCTGAGGCAGGCGGGTCCGCAGTAGTCCAGGCTACTCACAGCTGATGACAGCACAGCCCGGCCTGGCTCATCAACAGGACCTGGACCGAGCAGTCACTGGGGGCAGGGAATCCTCCCACTCAGCTCCTGTGAAGCCTGCAAGCTAAAGCCCAAACAGGTTTGATGGTCGTAAAGCTGGTCAGTGGTCGTAAAGCTATAGCAAGAAAAGGTCTGGCCCTGTGTTTGAGGATTCCTTCCAAAGCTGTGGGCACATATCTGACCTCTATGTGATTTGCAAATGTGCCGTAGCTCTCAATGTGGGGCTTTCTCCAGGGGAGAATGTCTCAGTTAAATGTCCTGTGGAGTCCTGCAGCTCAGTGGTTAGAGCACTGGCCTCGCAAGCGATAGGACCCGGGTTCGATTCCCGGGCAGGGCAAAAAGTTGGGCAACTTTCCTTACTCCACACACACGCCTGATAATAAGCCCCCAAGAAAAAGAAACAATGATAACTTGGTCACTGCAATCCACGGGTGTTTGTGGGACGCTGCTGTGCGCAATTGGCTGCCACGTTTCACCCACAATATATACAGTCACTTCACTTTACAGTGTGTTCTGTGAAGCGCTTTGGGACGTCCTCCTGACGTGAAAAGCGCTATATCAAAATGCAAGGATTATTATAAGGCGCTGTATCAAGGACATCCGAGGTCCCTCACCTCTACCTCCATCCCCACCTCCGTTGCCCCTACCCAGCCCTCCAACCCCCAGCCCCCCAACCCCACTCACCCACTCTACATCTCTTTTGTCAACAAAGTGCACTCCGCCACATCTCACTGTTAAAACACAAGTGTCAAATAAATATTTACAAATAAAAAAAAGGTAAATGTATGACATATGGAGGTCGTGGCCTCCCAGCAAACCATCAGCCAACATTTCCCGGATGGGCTAAAGGTACACGTTGTACTTTGCTCTTTCTGTTTTTTGTTGTTTTTAAAGAAAGGGCCCTTGCCAACAAGGGTCCAGATAAGCTACAGCTTTGGGGCCAGGTTCTCTACATCTTTGGAAAAAATGGATGTCGTTGACTCAAAAACAAAGGAAAGGAATGTACAGAGTCTTGCCCTTTGCAACCCTGTGTAAACCACACAGTAGTATGCTGGCAAGACAATAAAATAAATGAAGAACACACTCCCTCAATCCCTCCCCCTTGCCCTCTCTCTCCCCGTTTTCAAGTCCTGCCTGAAAACCTTCTTCTTGAACTGTGCATATGGCCATCTCTCCGCCCGACATTTGGTCATTTTCAATTAACGACTGTTTGTGGGACATTGCTGTGCGCAATTGGCTGCCGCGTTCACCCACAAATATACAGTCAATTCATTTTACAGAATATTCTGTGAAGCGCTTTGGGACGTCCAGAAGACGTGAAAACACTACTTCAAATGCAAGGATTATTATTATTATTATCACGTGGTCAAAACATCTCAAAGGCATTACTGTAAAGTGTGTATTTTGTACCCAAAGTGGCAGCTGATATGCGCACATCAGTGTCCCACAAACAGCCACAAAATGAATGACACAAACCAAATGAGGTGTGGTATTTGCATGCGTTCAGCTTTTATTGTGTTCAAGTACACACATCCTCTCTCTATCTCTATCTCTACAGCAGTCAAAGCAGAAAGTGGTTTGGAATTTACTGTGTAACGCGTAGTAACACAAAGATACTTATTAAAGCGATGAACAGATAGACGTGGAGGAGCTGGGATCCATGAGCAGCGAGCGCCAGCTGTCTCTGTCTCTCCACTATCCTTAGACATTGCAGCCCTGCACATAGCTCTGGAGGTTCCTCCCTCTGCAGTGATCTCTCCAGCCGTACCTGCAAAGTGAAGAGCGACTGACATTATAGGGAAGTGGCAGTAAAGGGGGAAGTGATCCTGGTGGGACAAGGCCGTCCAGGAGATGTTCAGTCTGTGGCAGGTGGTAACACTCGGAGTATGAGCTCCCGTTTGCTATGTCTGGGAAGCACTGTGTGGTTGGAGCTGCCGGCGAATAAATGAGGCGTCAACCAAAGTCATTGAAAGATCCCGTTGATATTATTCAACTATTCAAGCGAGTTTCCCAGGTGTCCTGGCCAACAAGCCCCTGAATAAGTCCTGTGGACTCCTATGGCTCAGTGGTTAGAGCACTCGCCTTGCAAGTGAGACACCTGGGTTCAATTCCAGGCAGTGCAAAACCTTGGGAAAGTGTCCTTACTGCACACACCAAATAATAATCCCTCCAAAAACAAAACAATAATAAATTGGTCATTTTCAATCCACGACTGTTTGTGGGACGCTGCTGTGCGCACACAAATATGCAGTCAATTCACTTTACAACATATTCTGTGAAGCGCTTTGAGACGTCGAGAAGACGTGAAAAGCGCTATATCAAATGAAAGGATTATTATTAATAAAATTTGTTATATTAAATTTTGTTGCTAAAATTTGTTTTGTTTTGCGGGACATTTCTGTACACAAAAGAAATATCATTTATTTATCTTCTGTGCGGTGCGGAGAGGATTAATAAATGCAATAATCGTCACATTTGATACAACTCCTTTAACACCAAAGCCTTCACAAGTAAATACCGTGAACTACAGCGACAGCTTTTAGCAGCAGCCAATTTGTGCACAGCATTGTTCCTGCAAACAGCCACAGAGTGAGCAGCCAATTATTATCGGGGCATTGTCGGTCAGGACCTTGGGGGGCAACTCCCTTCTCCTTTTGCATAGAGCCGCGGGATCTTTAACATCCACCTGAACAGGTACAGAGAGAACCTCAGTGTAACGTCTCATCCGAAGCCTGACACCTCTTACAATGCAGCGCTCCCCACAGCCGCACAGGAGCATCAGCTTAGACCGTGAGTCCAGACGTGGAGCTCGAACTCAAAACCTTCTGACTCTGTGTGCGCGAGAGTGCGATCAACTGAGCCAGGCCGACAGCTATTGAGCTGATTGGCCTTATTCAGTGCTGAAAGTGTCTCCACTTCTGTGTAAGTGACGAGAAGGGGTTGAGCCCCGTGGCTGGAGGGAAGTGATGGGGTGGAACGTACCAAGCTCCCATGCCGTTGGGATCACTCACAACCCTCTTTACACATCGAATATCATCCGTGATGTCGTCATTCAAAAAGGCTGAAAGAAATATTGAAACGGAACATGGTTACACAGAGTGACACAGGCCATGACCAAGGTCCATCCAGTTTGCCTTCCACCACCATGACATGTCGTGTCCTACACGGAATACTGTGTCCTGAGACATTATTTTCTAACAGAATAAGAGCGTGACCACCTCAGAGATACACCGGCTTCTCTAACAAAGCAGCATTCACCCAGCACCATGCTGGAGTGTAAGCAGCAACAGATTGCATTTCTATAGCACCTTTCCAGTCGGGACGACGTCGAAAGACGCTGGACCGTGAGGGTTTGGCACCGGAGCTGCTGGTTGGGATCAGAGAGGGGTTGCGGGCAGATGGTGGGTGGGGTGAGCCGTGTTGACAGTGGTCGATTTGCTTTTGCGGGGGTGATAATTGGTTACCACGTTTCTCCTGCAAAATATACAGTTAATATATATTCTGCAAAGTGCTTTGAGAAGTCTCGAAGATGTGATAAGGTGTTACATCAAATGCAAACATAATTATTAATATTATTATGTGGAGTCCTGTAGCTCAGTGGTTAGAGCACTCGTCTCACAAGTGGGAGACCTGTGTTTGATTCCCGGTCTGGGTAAAACGTTGGGCAAGTTTCCTTACTCCACACACACGCCTCTGTTTACTCAGCAGTAATAGCAACTGGGTTGTTAGTGGATTGGTGGATCACTTTTTTCTGAGGATAATAATTCTTTCAAAAACAATTATAATAATAAATTGGTCACTTCAATCCACGACTGTTTGTGGGACAGTGCTGTGTGCAATTGACTGCCATGTTTCTCCCACACAATACACAGTCTGTGAAGTGTTTTTTATTCTGTGAAGTCTCGAAAACATGATAATAATGATAATAATAATAATCCTTGCTTTTCACGTCGGGAGGATGTCCCAAAGGTGAGGCGTTATATTAAATGCAAGGATTATTATTATGATTATTATAGCACCCTTCACACAGAGTACCATCTGGGGTTGCTTTACCTGAACACTTGATGTTGCAGGTGTTTGAAGTACCAGGTGTCCGTCCATCATCGCACCAGTAACGGCTATTGATCTGAAACAAGCCGTAGTCTGTCGACACCACTCGTCCTTGTCTCCTGTTCTCATTTATAGCCCGAGTGTTGTAACTGCTCTCATGTTGAACCATGCAAATCCCTTCAAGCAAAAGAAAGGCACCGGCATTTATTTCTCTTTTGCAGGCAAACACAACAGCCGATTTGTGCTCAGCAATGTCCCACAAACAGATAAATGTTTGTTAGGTAAGGGTATCAATAATAATAATAATAATAATAATAAAATGGTCACTCTATCCATGACTATTTGTGGGACACTGTTGTGTGCAATTGGGTGTAGCGTTCAGCCCACAAAACAGTCAATTCACTTTACAGGATAGCGCTTTGAGACGTCTCGACGATAAGGTGCTTTATCACATGCAAGGATTATTATTATATTAGGTTACCGGAGTGTCGAGTGGAGGAAAGAAGGCAGATTGAGCACTATGTGTCAGCTATCATTGTGAGACTCACAGTTGGGGAGAGAGTAACCTCTGAATCCATCCAGTCCTGCAGCCTTCAGCTGCCTGGCAAGAACACATCGATCGTAGATTTTGGCACTGGCGACAAGGAACAGGAGGCTCAGGACAAAGAGAGTCTTCATCTCGTCGGTGGTGACAGAAAACACTAATGCTCTGCCAAACGCTCCCTTTATATACGTAGACCCTCCAGGCTGTCTGGGTTGTGCAAGTCCTTTAATTGGGGATCTGTGTCAAGAGCAAAGTTTCATCTTTAATGTTCAGTGTTGAAATTTTCCAATGCTGCAATATTTCATCACGATTTCACAAGATCAGTTCGGAGGAAGGGATCAATGCACTTTGGCAAATTGGACATAATCCAACAGGGACTCAGATTATCACAGTATCCAGGCCTCTACCATACCCTCCTGGCAACCCTATTCCAATCATTAATTACTCCAATACAAATAAATTGGGATGTCATTACCCTAAGTTTTAAGAGTCCTGTAGCATAACGATCATGAAATTGCTCTGAATCAATGATTTCTTTCTACCAACTTTGGTGCATCTGAAAGTATTGTTCTGGGTTTACCCTTTCAGTCCCATTTAAAATGTTATTAAATGTTATTACTGAAAGATGATAATATTATTAATAATAATTATTACTAATTATTATTGTTATTACTCTGAGCCCCCAACCACTGGAATCCCATCCCCCAGTCACTCCGCCTCGCCCCCTCCTTAGCCTCCTTCAATCCAATTAAAATTTTTGAATTGAATTGAATTCAGACTGAGAATTCCATGCATCCCACTTATGTATGGATATTCCAGTGATATTTACTGGAATGTACGAATTTGTATGATGCGAGTGCGAGAATGCGCTCCAAAGCTTAACCCAGTAACAGACCAACAACAAGATTACATTTGTATAGCGCCTTTCACATCGGGAGGACGTCCCAAGGCGCTGGACAGTCAGTGTTTCGGACCTGAGCTGGGGGTTGGGATTGGGGAGGGTGGAGGGCAAGGGTGAAAGCAGTGAGATCGAAAGCATGGTCGAAGAGGAGGGTCTTGAGATGGGTCTTGAAGGAGGCGAAGGAAGGGGCAAGGCAGAGGGACTGCAGGATAGAGATCCAGAGGGAGGGTGTAAGACAGTGGGAGAGCCAGGCAATGTTGTGGAGGTGGGGGAAGGCAGAGTGGGTCATGGCCCGGCTGTGGGGTAGAAACGATAGTTGAGGGTGAAACAAGACCCAAAGGTTCCGGACTGGCTCAGTGAGGTGGAGTGAGCAACTATGGGTAGTGATTCTGTCAGCGCCTGAGGTGAGGAGGTGCTGACAGGAGCCAATTGGGAGAGCCTCGGTCTGGTTGACGTTCAACTGAGGAAAGTTAGCTCTCATCCAGGACTTGATGTCTGACAGACATTCTGTCAGGACAGCAGTGGTCCTGGAGTCGAGGTTCGAGGCAGAGAGGTAGAGTTGGGTGTCATCCACATACATGTGGGTGTTGACCTCATGTCTGCTGTTGATGTCACCAAGAGGGAGCATATAGATGTTGAAGAGGAGGGACTAAGGACAGAGCCCTGAGGAACACGGCACGAGATGGGGTGGGGGCTAGAGGAGAAACCATTTGTGGAGATAAGTGGAGGTGGTGTGAGTGATACGATCTATAGTAATAATCCTTGCATTTCATATAGCGCCTTATCACACATCTTAAAGCGCTTCACAGAATAGACTGTAAAGTGAATTGACTCTATATTTCTGGGTGAAATGTGGATCTGAAGCATTCAAGGACAGAACCGTGAAGGTTGAGGTGAGAGGAGAGGTGGGGATGAGGATAGAGTGGTCAACGGTGTCAGAGGCAGCAGGGAGCCACCATAAACATGACCATAATCACTTGTACACACACCAGTACCAACACAGAGATATCATCATATTTAAGATTACAGTGGCTTCAGAGGCCTCCCAAAAAGTTCTTAACCCGCACCCCCCTCCCATCCCTCCATAGTCATTATTTGGTCAATTGACATACAACAAGTGCAGAATTGAGACCTCACCAGGTGGTGGCAGGGACACCCTGCTAGGTTTCTGGTGAGCAACACAGCTCAGCATGAAATACATCAGAGCATTTTCCTGCCCCCAACTGGGACACACCACCCTTTCCATTGTGCAATGGTTCCACCAGTTGAAGGTGTGCGGAGATTAAGAACCAGCTGCTCAACTCTCTGCAAAACCAACAGAGGTGGATTCCAAGCGCTGGATGTATGAACGCGTGTTTTTTCCTGCCTGCTCTTCAGGTGGATGTCGAAGTTCTTCCTAGTGTCCTTGCCAACAATGGTCCAGATAAAATTGCAAAGATTTCCTCCCTCTCCCTCGAATTTCCAGATCAAGCCTCTTAAGCGCCATCAGTTCCATCCAATATCATGCTCGGAGACTGTATTCACACTGTCCAGAGACAGAGATAGCATTACACCCTTTATGCATGAATTAGAGCCACATTGCCCAAAGACAACGCCACACTCCAAAACATTTCAAAAAAAATAATAATAATAATTTGGTCACTCAATCCATTTGTGAGACACTGCATTGGGCAACTGGCTTCTGTGTTTCGCCCACAAAATATACAGTCAATTCACTTTGTAGTATATTCTGTGAAGCGCTTTGAGACGTGTGATAAGGCGCTATGTGAAATGCAAGGATTATTATTATTATTACACTCTTCATGTAGGTACGAATTGGAGCCAAGTATTTGTTCCAATTGACGTTGTAAAATGCCACAATTTTTAACTCCAAATTCTTGATTTTCTTTTTAAAAGGTATGGGATCCTTAACTTCTACCTGAAAAAAAGCAGTAAGGACTTTGGCTTTAATGTCTCATCTGAAGGCTCTCACCTCAAAAACAATCCAGGGCACCCCAGCACTGCAACCCAAATCCTGCAGAAGTAAGATAAGACTTGGGATGAATTTGGGATGGTGGAAAAATGTCTGCCACGATATCAGGAGAAACTCCATACTCTTTTTCCCCCCAAAAACAGTGCCCTGGGATTTTGTTAATGGTCACCTGAAGCACAGTGAGGACAACAACAACAACTTGCACTTATATAGCGCCCTTCACGTGGGGTAGCGACCCAGAGCACTTCACAGTGGTAGAGTCTGACCCCGAGCCAGCGGGAGAGGAGAGGGGGAGGTGATCAAAAAGGATCTTCAGGCTGGATTTGAAAGAATGTGGGGAGGGCGGGGGCAAGGTAAAGGGATTTGAGGGAGAGAGTTCCAGAATTTCAGGGTGTAGCGGCTGAAAGTACGGCCAGCGATGGTAGAGCGGAGAAGGGCGCGAGGGACAAACAGGAGGCCAGAGACGGCTGAGCAGAGACACCCGGTGGTGGAGTGGGGTGGAGGGGGGTTAAGCAAATCGATGGTTAGAACATTATTAAGGCATTTTAATGTAACTGCAAACACCAAACCAAACCAGGGAAGTCAGGTGAGAGTTTTTGGTCAAACGTGTGTCCAACACATGTGGAAACCCACCACCATCAACAAAAACAACAACAAGATTCCATTTATAGAGTGCCTTTCACGGCAGGAGGACGTCCCAAGGTGCTGGACAGTTGGGTCAGGACCCGAGCATTGGGGAGAAATGGTCAGGGTGAGGGGAGGGAAGGGAGGAAACGAGGAGGGGGTAGAGAGTCGAGAGGGGAGCCGAAGGCTCGGTCAAAGAGAAAGGTCTTGAGACCGGCCTTGAAGGAGGAAAGGGAGGAGGCGGCGAAGGCACTGGGGGATAGAGTTCCAAAGCTTCGGGGCTGAGAAGCTGAAGGTCCGGCCACTGATGGTAGGGCGGTTGGGGCGGGGGATGTGGAGCAGACCGGAGCCAGAGGAACGGAGGGTACGGGCAGGTAGGTAGGGGGATAGTAGGTTGGAGAGGTAGGAGGACGCGAGGCCGTGAATGGCCTTGTAGGTGAGGATGAGGATCTTGAAATCAAAGAAATTTCTTTTAACTTCCCAATTTGATCTATTTGTGATTGTTTTACAGTAACGGCCTCTGGTTTTATTATTACCGCAGAGGATTGCTCAAATCTGACATTCCACTGCCAAGCGTGTCATCTTGGAGACAGCTCAATGCTGAAGAGACCCAACCCACTCCCCTTCCCCCGCCTCTCCCCCTCCCCTCCAAGCAATGTTAGTCAAGTCAAGGAATTACAGTTTGCAATTCCCTTTCAACACACCCACAGACAAACAAACATTCCCCAAATTAACTTCTGCAAATTGAATAACCACTATTTTCGAAATAATCTTCAAGCTTTGCGCAGGAGGGATTATTATATCATTATATTATTAAACAGAATGATCAAAAAAGTCGAAAAAAAGGGTCTTGAGATGATCCTTGAAGGAGGCAAGGAAGGGGGCGAGGTGGAGGAACTGTGGGAGGGAATTCCAGATGCTGGGGGCAGAGGGGCAGAAGGCCCACCCACCAATGGTGGGGTGAGCGAGGCCAGGGACCTGAAGCAGGCCATAGCCCACTGAGCAGAGGGAGCGAGCAGAATGGTAAGGGGTTAGGAGGTCGTAGAGGTAGAGGGGAGCAATGCCATGGAGTGCTTTGAATGTGAGGACCAAAGATGTTGAACGGCATTCTCTGTGTGATGGGAAGCCAGTGGAGTCGGGCGAGCATGGGGGATGATAGGGTTACAGAACCTAGTGCAGGAAAGGACATGGGTTGCAGAGTTCTGGATGATCTCCAATCTATGGAGGGAGGAGGTGGGAAGGCCGACAGCAAGGAGTTTGCATAGTCAAGCCTCGATGTAATGTATGTGTGCATGTGTGAGGGTTTTGGCGACCTGCGGCGTAAGCAGTGGCAGAGCAGGTGATGTTGCAGAGGTGGGGAAGACAGAGCAGGTCCTTTGACATTGTGGACCACTCTATGCTCCTCCACTGCCTCTTCTCTCACTTTAACCTTCAAGTTCTGTCCTTGAATGGTTCAGATCCTATCTCGCACACTGGCTCCACTTTGTCTCCACAAATGGCTTCTCCTCCAGCCCCTCCACCATCTCATGAGGTGTTCCTCAGGACTCAGTCCTCGGTCCCCTCCTCATCTGTACATGCTCCCTCTTGGTGACATCATCTGCAGACATGAGGTCAACTTCCACATATATGTGGATGACACCCAACTCTACCTCTCTGCCTCC